TCTAGTTACACCCCCTTTAATTTGCGATTGTTCTGATTTTTGGGGGCGTGAGAGTGCCTGGGAGGTTCTGGAGCTGGTTGATTTGGCTATTGGGGGCTGCTTAGCCTCTTCTATTTGGTATCCTTCGCTATGAAGTGAGTGATTGGGATAGTTGCTGCAGGTGGAATTTTTTTTGCTTGTCATCTGTCTTGGACTCTCTATCTTACCTTCCTTTAGGACATCTACTTGTGGAGGTAACGGAGCCGCTTACTTCACAGAGTTTGGAGGTTGGATCCCCTTTGGAGCGACTCCTGTTTTGGGCATTTTGTCCTTCCATGTGTTACTCGTCGGTTTGAGGCCCTTTAGGCGTTGGGATTTCGCTGCTTCTTTATCCTTAGGTGTGCTGGTTGTGCTCCTGTTTTCTATCTTTTTGGGAACCCTCTTTTCCTGGTAGTCGATCCTCGCTCGGAGCCTGATCTAACCTCGGTGATTTCCTCCTTTTCGGCCTGTTGTTGGTCGCGCCCTTTCCTCCTTTGTCGTTGGGCTCCAGTTGGTGATTCTATACCTGTTGATACTCTCTCATGGAGCTCTTGTCTGTTTCGCTGCTTCTGTTCGTTGTGGTTGTGAGTCTGTCGCTTCCCTCTCTTTAGTGGGGTTGGGAGACTTCTGGCTTGGGGCGTCTTGGTTTGATCTGTCATTTATATCATAAACACTCATTACTCTCTTTGATGTTTCGTGTTTAGTCATCACGATTCTGACTACTGTTTTCTTCTGATGATTTTGGCTGTCATCCCAGGCTCGGCGCCCTTTGAGCTGTCAGAAATAATGGGTATCATCGCGACTGCTTCGGAACGTGAGATGGGGGGGTCTGTCTACCTTCCGGCATCTGGGATTTAACTGATTTGGTGGCTGTAGTATATTCTTGTTACTGTTGCTGATTGTAGCTGTTTTTCAGATGCGTCATTGCTGATGTCTCTTCTTGGTTGGCTCCGACTCCTTTAGTCGTCCTTTGTTGAGGCGTGAAGATGTCCTGCTGATAACTTCGGGCTGAGATCCTTTATTCTTAGCAGTTAATTGTAGCTCCTTCGGGATCCCTGGGGGATTGGATGGCTTATCTTACTTGATTGCTATATGATCCGTCTCTTTCCTACTGACTTCAGGACTGTTATTGGGCTGGCGTCGGATCTTTCTTGGGCTCGGAATTATCTCTTGGTGTGAGATTTCTCTTATGTCTGGGGAGTCACTTGGTTTGATGATGGGAGTCACCCTATTGTTGTCTGCATTTTGTCCTGAACTTCTGTTGGGGTCGTGATTTCCTTGGGAGGGCTGCTGAGTTATCTAGTGGGTATCCTGCTCTAAAGCATTCCTGCTTGTGTTGGTGACATGCTTGGGGCCGTTTGATGAAGATAGGCAGCTGATTTCCATCTTACGTGTCGCTGTTGTGGTGTGTTTTCTTGGGATTACTGTTCTAATCGATTTAGATGCTTATGGAGTTGGTCGCTTGGGGTTTTGGGTGTAGGTCTGTGGTGGTTTGAAAAGACTGCAGGTTGTATATAGTTCGGTTGTTTGGGGGGTTTGGTGTGCTTTGGCTTGGTTGGGTATTATTTCGTCCAGTCATTGCTTTGGTGAATCCTTTGGGGGGATTTGTTTATATTCAGCCAGTGGCTGTGTGGTAGGAGATTGAGATTCTGTTGTCATTGGACGGGGTTCCGTTTGGGAAGTTTCTTAGCTATGTTATCTTATTTTGCTTTTTCTGTGGATGTGACTGGGGTTGGTTACTTGTCGTTGTTCTAATTAAGGGATGTGTCAGTGGCTTAGACTAGAATAGATCCTCTAAGACACCGCCTGCTTCTTGGATTTTTAACATTTGGAGTTCTATTTTGGCTTAGAGTTCGGCGATTTGGGAATCTGCTTAAAAGGAGTCAGTTATTCATTCTGGATTGAAGGATTTATTGAGGCTTACTTTGTCTGAGTCTTAGATAAAATAAAATGATTATTTTTATCTAGGCTTACTAGTTCAAGAAAGCTAACTTCTGGAGGTCTGTGGCTTCCTGGGGTTTCCTTATATTTACGTGTTGTCTCCTTTTTGGTGGGTTTGTGTTATTCTCCTTTTTTTATGGCTTAACTAACCTCTGGGCTTTTTAGACCTGATCCTTGGTTTAGTAATATGATATAGTGGCTGGAGACTAACACTAGCTTTGGAGTTTTCGCGGTTTGGGAATTGTTCTTTTCTATTTAGAATGCTTCACACAGACAGAAAAACAGCTTGCTAGAGTATATAGAGAGTAAGAGGGTGTATTGCTGAGATAGTCCTTTATAGGTTTGAGTCGTTCAGACTATTTCCAGAGCTGTGGAATGATTTTTCCTTGGGCTCATTGTTTATAGATTGAGAAAGTCAGGTTCTAACTGGTTTGTTCTTGACGGAGATGGCTCTCAAGGATGGTTTGGTGTGGTCCTCTTAAAGAGAGTGTCTGCCTTGGAAGAAATGATTAAACCAAGCTGTTGATTGTCAGACTGATTTTCATCTTCTTCCTCAGAAATATTATATATAGGTTTATCCTTACGATGTCTGCCACAAGGTCCTTCGGTTTCTCTCCTGATTCATCGAGTCTAGCCTAACGCCCTTAGGCGTTGATCCCTCCTTCTTGATTGGGGGAGGAAGATAGGCGTTTGTTTTATTTGTATTATCCTTTCTGGTGCCTCGTAACGTAATTTCTCTTTTCAAAATATGCCCTTTCTGTTTGAGAGCTGTCATGCCTTCTTGTCAAGATAAAGCCGAAAGGTTTTCTTCTGATCTGTTGTGATTTGATGGGTAATGTTGTCCTTTCCGTTTAGAATGGCGTTTCGCCGCTGGGGAATTAAGGTTTCCATTTAAATATACAATATGACGGGGGTTTCTTAACCTGTTTTCATCTTCGGGCTAAAGAGGACTATAGATATGTTTCAGACAGTGTCCATTAATGGATAAACGCTTATTCATTCTATTACTTAACTTTTCTTTAAAGAAAATATAGAAGGAAGAAGATTCTGGCCCTGAAAATTTCTAAATACAATGATTTCCTAAAGAAGGATTTCTTTTAAGTAATTATAGAGTGAGAATGACTCCTGAAAACATAAATTGTATAGTGGCATACTGTTTTGCTGATTTCTTGTTACTGTAGTTTCGAATAGCTAGAAACAATGATTCGGAAGTTGTTTCCCTCTTGAGGGCATCCTCTGCCCTTCCCGTTTTTCTGTTTGAGAGAGGACAGGGCCTTAATATTAAACAGGTTCAGATCATCCTATGGTCAGGTTTTTTTTATAAGCGGGTTCATAAATTACAGACTTTATGGGATTCTATCAATTCCTGATAAATCACCATCATTAGATTTAGAATTTTTGGAATTTAGTTTTCCATCTGACCTTTCTGTTTTTAGATAGCCAACTGCAGTCATCCGGAAGGAAATTCTTCGTTAGTTTTCTTTTTGGATGGTGTCCTCCTTGGGGGGGCATCAGGTTGGTCATGATTGTTAAAACATTGTTGTTTGACAGGTCCGTTAGACATGACCTATAAGGAGGTTATTGATGTCTTATACCCATAGACTCCTTTTTTCAAAGAAACATCGACAAATAAGGTAGACCTGATCCAGAGTAAGAACAAAATAAGTAATTTTGAGAGGCTCGTGATCACTCCTCTAAGAGATTCTTAGCTCATATATTCTTCTAGTAGAAACATGTAAGAAGCGACAACGAGAATTTTAACTAAGCAGGAGCGAATAAGGAATCTCCTCTATTTAGGGCCAGGGAAGGTTTCTCCTTGGAGTTCATGGGTTCTAGTATGTTTTCTGGTTTTCTTGTCATATTTACTTGAGCATCCATAATCTAGAGCAGAAGGGGATTCAGTGAGAAAACCCATAGTATCTTATTGTAACTCCCTGGGGAGACATAACTATACATACAAGAGGGTTCTTATCTGCTCGAGGATGGTTTTAAATATATAATTGAGGTGGGATTCGTTATTTTATTATGAACTTCCTTAAAATACGTTGAAGCCCTTTAATTCACTTCCAAATACGTTGTAGTAGTTGTCAAATTTTGTAAATAGGTAGTAAACAATGTTTCGTAAAGAATTTTCACAAATGCAAAATTTTTAACTAGAACAGAAGCACTTACATAAATAAATTAAGACATTATAGAATATATCTCTAGCCAATAATAAAAAAAAAGAAAAAGAAAGGAGATCATAGAAAATGTATAAAATCTATTTCTTCGCTCATAGTGAACGCTGGTCGAGATATTTATGAGACAAAACAACGTGTATTTCTTCTTTTTAATCAAAATGACAGGTTCCTCAATTATATGAAAGTCCAATAACGCTTACAATATATTTCTGCATGCCTTTTTGTTTCCTAAAATCTGCAAAATAGGCCATATAAATGAGTCAGCACATATTCTTCCGTATATCTGACGCTAGAAACTTCTGAAAAATAATTTCTTCACGAAGGCGGCATATACATTATATTACCATTCATCCTTTGGCTGAGGCTTACATCTCGTACCTATAGAAATGGAACTTTTATTTATGCATTCCAATTAAGACCAGATGAAACTCCTTATTCATTATGCATCGTAACTCCCAAAGGCGAGAAGCTATTCTTCTGTTATATCATCCTTCTTCTTTTGCTGACGGATAGTCAAACGGATGTAGAGAACCTTTAATCTAAATCTAGAATATTTAAAACAATATATTAATTATATGCACTACTAATAGGTGCTATTGCAGAACCAAACGAACGACTGTTTCGATCACATTCTCCTATCCTGGACAGTTTGGATTTCTTCTCTTTCTTTTTTTCTTGATGATGTAAACATCCTATAGCTTTGGTTTAGGGAACAGATGATGACGCCATATATGTTCCTTCCTTCTTCTCTTTTTTTTTTTTTCGTCTTTTCCTTTAATACAATAATCGGGACT